GGCTCCAAACGAAAGGGGAGGGTGGAAGAAGATGAGGAAGATGAACAAGATGGGCTAGGGTTGTTTTGTTTTAAATTCCCCTTTTCCTTTTGTTTTGCAACATGGACCCACTTGGGCTAGTTTCTTTTGTTTAAGGCCCATTTACCCAATCACACCTTGTGAACAAAACCAATAATATAATTTCGTAGTTGATCCAATGGCCCAGAGCAAGTGTCACATAACGGAATCCGTAAAAACATAACTTAATAAATACTACACGCTACTAACTCACCACTAAATTTGTAACAACACACACTAGCCGAGATGCCACACTAAAATTAAATAAAGATCACTGATGAATCAAATAAAATAAAAATGAAATAAATAAATAAATCAGTAACTAAAATCCATTTTGTTATAAAATTCCCCGGAACTCGGGGCAAGCTAACCTGAGTAACGCGGGGCGTTACAACTCCATTACTATCAAACTTTAATAAAACCGAAAATTGGACAAAACAATTTGATGCGTCCAACTTCACTTCATTCAATATCAAATTCCTAAAATTCTGAAAATTCATATCTTCGTCAACCAAAATCCCAATAGTTTTGTAATTCATATAGCAGTGACTATCATTCCGCAAGCTCGCCTATAACTACAGATATTGCAAAAAATATAAAATATTGATGATATTAGTATATCAGTCAACAAATAACATAACATAAGTAGCTGATATACCCTATATTTAATATATCAATTGCAGATATACTCTATATTTAATGTCTATATTGAGTATATCAGTTATAGATAAACCTAAAATATCAGTGTGATATACCTCACTGATATGCTTCATTCAGTGTGATATACCTCACTGATTTAGGTGATATATCTCACCTAAAATTCACGCAGGTTCTCCACAATCTTAATGGTGATCTTTCACCCAAAATCAAACACCAATAACTAAAATCAAGCTTAAATTCGAAAGAAGAAGAAAAACTAAAATCAAGACCTCAGAAACGAACAAAATCGAAGAGAAAGAAGAAGGAGAATGAGAAAAACTAAATATAATTATGGATAGAGAATGGAATAGTAGGCTGAGCTTGGTGAACAAACTTTATAATTTTCGGCCAGGTATGGGAGAGGAGGTGCAAAATAGTCCCTCAAGATGTAACGCCCCGCGTTCTCTGACTCATTTATTTTCAGAGATAAATAGTGCCTTGGATCTTTCCCTAAGTTGATAACTTTAATTCTTGGATCTTTTAACTTCGAAATTCTAATTTTCGGCTAAATTAGAATTAAGTTTATTTTCATTGGATTAAGATAATTTAAGTTCTCGACCTGTGTAGGAGATTTTTAGTTAAATCTTAAATTCATGG